CGCGTGCTGTTTTCGGTGGATTACCCGTACGAGACGATTGAGATGTGCTCTGCTTGGTGGGACGGCCAGGCCGAGGAGGTGAAGGAGGCGGTGGGCGGCGTTGAGAATTATCGCAAGATTGGGCGTGATAATGCGAAGAAGCTGCTCAAGCTTGGCGAGTTCCACGACTCTGAGGCTCCTGTGTCTTGAGAGGGGATTCTGTTTGTATCATATCAGTAGCTTGAATAGCTCACACTGAATATTTGGTTTAGTCCACTCTGAGAACTCAGCTTTCCCATCGTCTTCCATGTCTGCCCTACCAAGATGACCACTGAGGCGAGGAATCTCAATCGCTCCCCAGCGGTTTCTAGTCGAACATGTCCATCAATTTGGAACTATGATCTCAGTGGGCTCCCAGCCCAATCCTCTGGCTCTATATTCTTTCAGCCAAAAGAGAACCGTCATCTTATGTAGTAATATCGTACACTATAAGATACAGGAGCTGGATGACGAGGGTGGCTTATTGGAATAGATTGATGCCCTTGTCATTTATGATCGCTGCGTTCATTGAAAAATTTCCCAGTTGGTCAGATCTATCCCCTGAATATTGAACCAGCTTTCATTGAGCAAATCAGAGCCTGTGAAATCCCCAAAGTCCTGCGCCAGGGTCGTCTGGTTCAAACCAGGCACAGAGCCGAACGGGAGCAAGACGTCCTGCTCGCTTCCTTGCTCAAGTTGCGCATCGTTTGTTTCTGCTATGCAAGAGCGCCAAAGGAATGGTTAGCTTCTCTCCTGTTCAGTCTACCAATTCCCATTCACCCATAGGAAAAGTGAACCCCCTTTATTCTTGCTCTCCATGTGTATTTTCCTCTTACCATTGGTGGCTGGGGCCCGGCTGGGTGCGTCTCGCTGCGAAGCGGCAGCCATGACAGATGCGCGAAACTTTTCTAAGACTTCGATGCCTCGACTGGCGGACGCGACGTGCTGCTTATGAAAACCAAAGATGCGCAAAGCTCGGTCCCACGAGGATTTTGTCGGCTCTGTTTCGAAGCTGACGTGGAGATCGGGGCACAGGGTCGCGACTACCAGAGTGGAAGCTGCGGCAAAGGTAACTGTGATGAGAGAGTGAATGAAGATTTAGCTTTAATCGCCAAACCTGAACTGAAGACTGGAAGGGCAAGAAACAAGAGGCAAGCAGGCAGAAGGGGATGAAAAGAAAAACTTTGCGTACAGAGTAGAACATGCCAGGCCGAGTTCTGCCTGACGCTGCCCAGCTTTTCGTAAAGCTCCTGGAGTACGCTGTGAGCCGTCGAAACGCAGAGCGAGTTCGCTGAGTGCCCTAGGCTGTCTCGGAGTGTATGTGTGGCGTCCGTTGCGAACGGTTTCTCGGGTCGGCTGCCGTGCTTGGCCTCGGCCAAGAGGAGCGGACGTAGGAGGAGAAGCCGAATCCATAAGACTCTAGTTGACACGACCATAAGTCAGACTTTCTCCAAGGAAGGGAAAAAGGAAGAGGCTTGAGGAAAAGCCGTCTTACCTAGACTTGAGGATGTTTGCCTGCATCTGCAGACACCCCCGTAGCTCTTCGTCTAGCCGTGTCAATTCCGCGCCTTCTCTGAGGTAGAGCGGAATTGAGTGGCCCAATTCGTCGAGCTTTGACGAGAGCTGTAGGACATGGCTGAGTGAATCGGCTGTCTTGTCCGAGATAGATTCGCCTTCGGTGTAGAATTTGGCTAGTATCTCGTTCAGCACATCAAACAGCGCAACGGAGTGTACAAAGAAGGCCAGGTACGAGGGGCGATCCGACGGCTGTAGGCCTTCGGAACTCTCAGACAAATACTCATCGTCGATAGGTTCCGGTGGAGGGACGGAGTACTGCCGAGACACAAGGACAGGTCTCCCAAAGGTGGTTGCCGTGAGTCTTGGAAGCGTTGACGTTAGCTGGGTGGCAATCATCTGGATCCGAGCAAGCGAAGGCAGCGACACGGGTGCCACGGGAGCTGGTGGAAAATCTTCTGCCTACCTGTCTAAAGTTAAGCAGCAGTGCCAGACACGTCGCCTCATCTCCCTCTTGAGCTGGCTGTTTGAGGACATTGATCCATCACCGCGGGAGTGCAATCCGAGACCCTGCGCAACTCGCAGTGCGACTCCGACTGTGTTCCAACATCGGTCCGCGTACTGCGTGTAGTGTAGGTAAACGCCCCTCAGCAGCAATAGCTGAACGATTTGTAGAGAGGAGTGATCGAGCGTATCGACTGACACGAGCTTGCAAGATTGCTTATAGAACCTATTGGCTAGGCGGACTTGCTCCGTTACTGAGACCTGATCTGTCCGCTGACACCCCAGAGCCAGCACGATGCTCAAGGTGGCATGGAAAACGATGTCCTTGTAGTCTCGATTAGGAGGTCGGCCTTGAGATGGCTGCCACACCGCTTCGTACGATGCGGTAAACGAAGGCCGGTGAAGTATGGGAAACACCGGGTGGACAAAATCCCAAAAGCAGCAGAAGAGATTATCGGCGAGCCACCTCTCGGGAAGCATTACGGGGTCCGGTAGGATATCAGGACTCTTGGGCTGCGTTGTTATCGCGAATCCGAGTACTGTAGGGGTGGCTTCCACTGCATCCTGTCCGGCCAGCTCCTCTGGACTCTTCGTGTTTGAGCTTCTGGGGCCCGCGGCTTCTGTCACCAGTCGTAGAAATGAGCTGTTGGATGAAGGACCGTACATGGCATCGCCATCGGCTTCGTTGCGAGACAATGGTGAAGCAGATTGAACGGCGTTTGTCGCTGAGAGCTGAGCGGGCGGCTGGGGAGTGATGGTGCCAATAGGAGTGGTTGATCCGTTGGTAGTCAGGGGAAAGACATTATGAGCTCCTCCCGAAATGTCTGTTTCTGGACGGGGATCGGGATGCGGCAGTCCGTCACGAGCTTGAGCTGCGGGAAGCTCTTCCAAACGCTTCAGCCTCTTTGACAGTTGGGATATTGATCTGCTAAAATTGATCAGCAGATTTCATATGCCACCAAGGTGATGTCCATTTTGGGCTAGAGATGAAGGACCAGAAAACCCACGGCACGTACGGTGTCGATGACGCATGCAAGACGGATTCTTGATATGTGCACCGTGGCTGCCAACCTCTGGATGTACAAGAAGAACACACCGGGCGCGCTCCATCGCATCCAGACTTACGAGCGCGGCATGGGTTGCAGGCAAGCTGCGTTTTGCGCCGTTTCCGCGGCGGCAACTGCACCGACGTCGTGGGCATTGTAAGGTTGCGGTTGATTCGATGGCACGATGCTTAATGCGCGTCAAACGGAGGTGAGTTTAGAAAGACTAGTGCCTAAAGTGGGTAGGGTAGCGCTGAGACGTCGGGAACGTAACTACCTTACCGGGAGTGGCGGAGGGTATTTAGTGGTTGTGTAAGGTAGGTAACGATGGTCGTAGGGCTCTCATGGACCATCGCTGAGGTAATAGGGGTAACTCAGAGAGCGACCGCCGTAGGTATCTAGGTATGCAGTAACCGTCGTCCAGCGCCATGAGCGTCGCAGGGTGGAGCCCCATACAATCGGGGCCGTGCACGCGGATCCGGATCGGGGTGCTCCAGGTCACGGGACTGCCATGCATTTATGCGACGCTAATAATCCATGCATTTACTACGAATTGCGCCGCGCCACTAACCACCAGCCACCACTGCTACTGAAGCCACTACTGCTACCGAAGCTACCACCCACTGCCACTTGGACGGCGCGGGATTCGTCTCAGTCCCACCGTCCACTTGTGGGGACCATTTGCAGTGCTCCCACGGTGCCGTATAGTGGCTAGGTGCCAGTAATGGGCGTGGTGCCAAAACCAGACAACGGTCACGATACGGTGCCATGCACAGGCGAGGTGCCAAGGGGAGGCACGGTGCCACGCAGAGGGGTGGTGCCAGCGGTGCCACGGTCCCACATGCAGTTCTCAGGTTCCACCGGGTCGGGTCCACATTGCTCTGCAATTGCATATTTCTTTGATGCATATTCATTCCTGTGCAGTCCTATTGAATACATTGGTACAACTGCCCGGCTCTGCCGCCCACCTAACCGGCAATTCCGAAAACCACCAAGTCAATTAAAATCCACTACCGAAGTCCGAATGCCGCAAAGTCAATTCCACTCAAGTCAATTCCGTAGTACAAATCCGAATTCCTTTTCCGTAATGAGCAAGATACTGCATCAATCATTGTTAGTGAGTTCAATTGAATGAGAAAGATGGGCAGGCTTACCGGCCATCCATGGTAATGCAGCGCTATCTTTGGCGCTATCCTCGCCGCCAGACTAGGTAGAGGCAACAGACGCGCTATTCGATGGTCAATGAGGCTGATCATGGTAGATGAGATGCTTGGGTGACTTACACCTAGGGACCACGGGCAGGTAGTCGCTTTGTCAATTCCATGTGGAGATGTGGAGATGTGGAGATGTGGTGATGTGGGATGGGACATGGAAGAAGGTGAAACACCGACGACGTGTAAAGCAGCGCGGTCTTTGGTGCTGTCCTTGCCGCCAGAGTAAGTAGACGCGCTGTTCATGAGGTGGTTAATGAGGACCAATCATCGTTGGGTGAGATGATTAACTTACATGGACCACAGGTAGTCGCTTCGTCAACTTCCATCTATAAGTGAGGTATGATGAGGATTTCCGACAGCAATAGAAATTCACCCGCGTGTAATGCAGTGCGGTCTTTGGTGCTATCCTTGCCACTCTTGGAAAAGATTTGGATGCATTTGAACCCCTTGCTCAAACCTCCAGATATGGATCTAGCAATACTCGCTATCTATTTTCTTCTCGCAGCTCATACGGCCTTGGATAAGCTTCATGCAGTGCTTGTACTTCGCCCTGTCAGTCAGCCCGACCTCAAGAGGACTAGAGCAAGAAGGTAAGGAGGTTAGGTATGGGCTCCACTACATGAAGCCCATCCGGGCCAGTGGAGCGGCCCATAGGACGGCCCGGCACATAGAACGGCGGATATGTGGCGGCCCACGTCCACGGGTATTAAATGAGCTTGACGTCCCAGGTGACCCAGAGCTGTCGGGTCTCCTGGCCCTCGACCACGCAGTCATCGATGATGTACTGACCCTTAAAGAGAGGATCGATAGCGAGTAAACCAATGATGATTTGCTCTCTATCATCGTCGACATAAGGCAGACCAAGGTGCGGGTGGTCATCCTCAGAGATAGTCGCCTTGGTAAGTACAAGGAATGCGCGGCCGGTTTGGTCATGCTTGTGGAGGAAGACGCCATCGATGCGGCCAAGCTGAGACTCGTCTTCGGTGTCACTGGTCTCCATATTGCCGTCGTCTGGAGACGAGGCCCTGTTGAACTCAACGTAATCGCCAACCTTGTAGGTACGACGATGGAACTCCCTGCGATGCACGTCATGAGTTAGCAGCTGAGTTCTGGTCTCGCGTGAAGCACACGTGCATGTCCAGGTCTATGGATAGGGATCTCTCCCGCCGCTGACATCTCACCTCACCCTCCCGTCCACTGGGACCTATAGGTAAGGTGAGGTAAGTGCCATTGTCAGAAGTACCATGAATGTCGTAATGTATTCTCTAGGTCGCTCGATTTTGTCTAATTCCCGCAAGACAAGGTAGTTCCCTATCAGTTTCGCGTCGTCTCCAGAATGACCAGCCTGATGGTTGAAATGGTGTAGGGATAGACCATGATTGGTCTCCTTGGAGATCGGATCTTCAGACGTCGTCGTCTGAATGCACCGAAGTCTCGATTTCGAGTAAGACAAACGACTACATAGCTCGTGGCCCTGAGTTCAGGTTCGCAGCTGTAGGTTCAGGTCAACAGAAAGTGAGACTGCGAAGAAACGAACCTTCTGTCGACCTAAATCCACAGCTGCGAGCTTGAGCTTAGAGCTGCGAGTTTAAAGTTGTCTGGGAAATCGAAAACTAGCGCATGAGAGATCAAAGTCATCTGAGTAACTCATACTCTTTGGATGTACTCCGAAAGTTATCTGAGTATCCGAAATATTTTGAATGCAAGCTCCAAGTCATCGGAGCATCTGAGACTCTCTGGATGCAAGCTTAAAGTCATCTAAGGATACGAAACTGCTGGCTGTAAGCTAGAACTCAAGTATGTAAGTTCAAACTCAAGGAAAACTCGAAAAAATAGTGATAGGACAGCGAGGGAAAAGAATTCAACGACGTACCTGTCGGAGAAGGAAACCTTCTTATACCATCTGATCATCGGTCCACGAGATAGTCCGTACATGTTGGGGATCTGTTATATGGCGGCAGTATGCCTCGCGCAAATAGGAGATGAAGCTATTGCGGAAGTCGTTGGATGGTGACACTGGGAGAGGATGACCGTCATTGACGCGACGACGGCTCTGTCTGATTGCCTTTGACGTAATGGCAACACGAACAGATGCGTCGAAGTGCTGTTGGACGTCTGATGCTTCAGCTTCGTTAGCAGCGGGCGCCACGAACTCCTCGTGCTCAAAGTCGTCCTCGTCCAAACCTACAGCCGCAAACTGTTCATCTAGGCCCCGCTGATCGGAACGGGCCGTGATGCTCTCGAACAAAAAGGGACAAGCGCAGTAGATTCTTCTTAGTTGATTGGCCAGATCCGCATGCTTCTTGTCGTAGGCGCCCAGGACCAGGAGCCGAGCTATCAATCTATAATTAACTATTACAACCCAACATGCATAACCAACCCAGAGGCCAGTCCGCTAGCCGCGGCGGCTACGGTATACTATATATATAAATAAAATAAGGACACGGCTACTCCTTATAAAATAAAAAAACTATAAAATAAGTTACGTACTAATAAAATAAGGATTATTTTAAATTAAAATAATTTAATATAATTTAGGGTTTAAACGATTATTTTAAATTAAATTAATTAAAAACGACTTAAAAAATAAAAAATATATTTAAAACCGAAATTTATATATAATATAAATTTAAACTAGGCTCGAAAATAGACTTTTATAACTTCTTTAATAATTAACTTAATATTAAATTTTATAATCGTTTTTAGTTATTTTTAATAAGAAGCTTTTTTAATAAAATTATAATTAATTACCAAAGCCTTACTTACTTTACGATTTATAAATATAATTTTAAAAAAGCTATTTACGATTATAATACTATTTATTTAGTATTCGTAGTCTTAATTTTTATTAATATACTTATTATAACTAGTTAGCCATAACAAAGGACTTTCGTAATAGCTTTATTTAATTCCTAAATAAGAAATTAGTTAAATTTATTAATTATTTGCTAAATAGTTAAATATAGCGCGAGAAATAAAGTAAATAATTAAATATAAACCTTATATTTGATTTGTTTGTTTGGGTATAAGCGCTGTGTAGAAGTCGCCTTGGTTATCCCTAGGAAGGATTGCGGCGGTGCAGCGGTTGGAACCAACAATCATTGCCAAGCCCATCCTTGACTTGTGCAGGACCCTTTCATAAGACGGCGAAGAGCGTGCTAATTGCGTTTGTCCTGTTTTCGAACAACTTGCTGCTCCCGTCAAGCAGTTGTTGACGGATGAGCTGTTCATGCTGAACCAACCGGTTGGTAATTGTTCCTATTGGCCATGTCCCCTGCCGAGAATTCTGCCCACATGCAAACTTCGGACCAACCGGGCCTCAGCTTTGTTCAGTTGAAATGAAGAATTGCCAACAGTCACATTCTGGACAGGTGCTTAAGTATCTATGTTCTAGCAGTCCAGATAGCGCGATCGATTGATCGTGTCGTCTATGCGCCCTTTCCTTGTCCTAGATGCCCTCGCTTTTGGGGGGCGATTCGACCGCAAAAGCACGCCCACCGGCAAGAAGCCCTCTCGTGAATTGTTTGCCTTTGAAGCTAAGCGCCCGTTGGAAGCATTGGAAGTGCGAATCCACTCTTGTAATTACATGACAGGGTTGGCAACGGCACAGCAAGCTTGGCTAGCAATCTCGTGGGCGTCCTAGGCCAAAGTTAGATCGATTGTATCCACAGTGTTCCGTCTTATAGAGTAAGGTGTAAGCTCATTGCAGAACCAACGACGGAGGAAAAAAAAAGGTAACACGTTTTGCGCCGCTCTGCTCGCCCACTTTCTTCCTCCGTATTATTTTCTCAATGGCTATTCAAGGTCTCCTCCCATCATGGCGCCGCAGCCAGGGCTTAGACTACGATGCGGTCGAAAGTGATCCGTCCTCCCATGCAGAACGACCAAGCCTTTCCGAGGTTATGGCCTCGAAACGCTTTCGCTGGCTGGCCGGGATTGTTCTCGGAACACTTTTGTTAGTCTTCGCCCTTGACAACTCTGTCCAGATCTCAAGGTTGCGACACCCTACCTCGCCGACATCCAAGACGTTGAGTCAAGTCAAGGGCGCGACGAGCTATGCAGACGTAGACTGGTCCCGATTCGCCTATGTGCAGTATGCCACCAACACACCATATCTCTGCAATTCGGTTATGGTGTTTGAGAGGTTGCAGCACCTGCAAAGTAAAGCTGATCGCGTCTTGCTGTACCCCTCCGAGATGCTGGCTCCCCTGGCGACAACCGGGAACACCAAAGATGCTTCCCTGCTCATTCATGCGAGGGATACTTATGGCGTGAAACTGGTTCCCATCACTGTCCAGCATAGAAAAGGCTCAGATCGTGAGTTGAGTCTCTTGATAAGGCCCCACTAATTGGGTCTATGATGTACTGATGGATCAACCACAATAGCTACATGGGCTGAATCTTTCACCAAGCTCCTAGCCTTCAACCAGACCCAGTATGGTCGAGTTCTTTCTATTGACTCTGATTCCACACTGCTACAGAGTATCGATGAGTTGTTCCTCTCGCCGCCAGCTACAGTAGCTGTACCGCGGGCCTACTGGCTCTACCCAGAGAAGAAGATAGTTGCTTCGCACATCATGCTCGTACAGCCCAGCGTTGCTGAGTTTGCCCGGATTAGGGAAAGGGTAGACCATGCCGGGAAAGAAGAGTATGATATGGAAATCATCAACGACTTGTACAAAGACAGCGCCATGATTCTCCCTCACCGGCCCTATGCTCTGTTGACTCGCTCTTTTGGCGGCGATCATCAAGACTACTATCTCGGAAACGGCAACGAGGTTTGGGATGCTGTGACTGTTTACAATGAGGCTAAATATCTTCACTTCTCTGATTGGCCTATGCACAAGCCCTGGTTGAAATCCTCTGATAGTTTGGTCAAGGAGAGGCAGCCCGACTGTGTTGTGAAAGATGGGAAAGAGGACTGTACTGCAAGAGAGTTATGGCTTAGCTTCTACACGGAATTTAGAGCGCGCAGATCTGTAAGTACCCTCGACTCTATTCAACTAGTGAGACAGGATTTCGCTGACATGCCTAAAGCAAGTTTGCGGTATCAACACCTAATTCAACCAGATGAAAACTCAAACGAGTCTCTAATTCAAGAAAGATGGATACCCAGCACGGAATTACAGTAAAATAGAGAAGTAGACTTTGGAGTTCTGTTCTACATATGGAATGAGGTGATCCAATGAAAGCCACAGCTTTCCGTGACTCTTTCCGTGATCTTCTCTCAATGTAACTCGGCTTCCATCTTGACTCTAATATGCTAAACAGTGCCGAAGATTTCAGGGATGTGAAGTTGTCACATCATCAGAGCCATCGTCAAGACGAGAGGCATTTGTCTTATTGAAGGCGCACTAAAGACAGATCATCCTCCCTTGAAATCAAGGGCTAGCTTCAAATTCTTTATCCCCGACACTAGGCTGCGGCTGACCTCGTGCGTGATGGAGGTTAACATACTGACAGCGAGATGCATGAGACTAATACTACTTGACCGTCAATTTCATTGGTGTGGCGTTGAGCCTATGATTGTGGCGGTGGGCTGGACTTCGGGACTTGGAAGGGTACATGTAATTCGGAATTGGCCATAAGTGGCAGGATGGTTTTCACTGACAAGAGCCATATAAGTCGGCTCTTTCACAGATTCAAAATTCAGCCAACATCCGGAGAACATGATCATACGTCGAATTTCCCTGAAACAATGCGACTTCCAAGCATCGCTGGTGCAATACTTCTGCTGCTGTTGCGGGCAGCTCCAATTGTGTGCGCGCAATGGGCATCATCTTGCACCGTAGTTCCCAGCGTCGCCTCCTGCGTGTCCTCGATTACGTCGGCTATCAGCCGCACAGCCTCCGCATTAAAGTTTTGTTCTTCCGTTTTGGAATGTCCTCTGCCGACTACCACGACTCTAGTCGGCACCGTCTCAACGACGACAACCAAAACGCAGACGTCTACGTACACCCTTGAAGAAATAGTAGATAACATGAACTCCAGATAAAATGAACTCCAGGGTTGTTTGTTTATCAAATTGACAGATGATCGTGATTGATAGGGCACTGAAACAACTACGACATCCACGTTCTCCTACACGGTATGCACGATCACTTTCCACCTTTTTCCAAGGGAAAGCTCAGGAAGTTGACACAAATCCCAATGTTACAGGAATCAACCTATAGTTATGTAGCAACTGTGACTGTTAAGCCAACATGGACAGTCGAGTAAGCCATGTAGCTGACAATGAACTGTGCGCCTTTGACTAACAGTTGCAGGCGATTCGAAATCACAACAGCAAAGCCGAAGAAGCGTCGAGAGGCCACTTACCGCGTTGAATGCAGAGCAGTAACTTCAGTATGCCCATCGGCAGTTCAAAAGAGCGCATGCTCGTGTCTTTATACTTGTCTAGGGCCAATCACCAAGGATAGTCGCAAGACCATTAAGAGCGTCGAGACGGAGATCTCATGGATCGTAGGTTTCATATGCCGATAATCCCCTCTGAGGTCTGCTGAAAAGAACAACTTTGACGCGAGTCTCATCATTAGGTAACAACCTCTTTCATTACATACACCAATATCGAATACTATCCGATCATTACAACCGAAGTATCGCTCCTGACCAGCACTGCGACGGTAAGTCGCGAATCAAAGAGTCCCCGGCGTTACTGCCGTATGATTGTCGCTGACCTTGATCTGGGGACACCTTAGCAAGCGGAGATTGCGACACACACGAGAAAGATCAAATGCACGCCTTCAGCCAGCGCATCTTCTTTCTACCTGCTAGCCACCATTGCGCCGGCCCCATCACCGGTTCCAGTGTACAACAACAGATACGTGCTCGCGAACCCGCAGTTCGAACTGTTCACAGAGAATGGCGTCTTGTTCGAGCCGCAGTATACCCCGGATAGGGGCACCGCCAGCGTCTTCATCCTCGATAGCAAAGGCCGCATCGTCACGCAGACATCATACGGCGATCACTTCTTCGCCAGCGATGACTTTAACGACTTCGACCTGGTGCATTTCCTGCCCCGTGGGTGGATCCAGGCGCGCAGGGGTCATAACGGCGAGGACGTCGGGTTCGACTATGTCTATTGCACGATGCAGCCTCCGTCGGGGCGATACGTTGGTGGATTCAAGGAGCTGGCGTGCACGCAGGGGTATTTCAATGCGACGGTCTTGCAGTATTGTCCGTTGTATGACGAATACTTCCGCACAGGAACAGTGCTTGGGGCGGACTACAGTGCTACAACTCCTGATTGTCTGCTGGTGACATACTTGGTGGTTCCCGTCTGCGGAGGATAATCGAGTGCTTCGGCGTTGGTTTCGTGGGTTGGGTTGAGAGGTCCGGAATTATGGGACCGGTCACTAAAGCCGTCAGGCTCCACTTCGCCGAAGTGGCCTTCGGGAGCCGGCGCTGGGAATCTGAGATGTCATGCGTCAGGGAATCGCCTCAGAGCTACCTTCACCAAGACCCATATATGCATTGTTTCGTACGCCATTAACATCATTCTGTCGGACTTATCCATCAATTCGCGAACCCCTACTCGGTTGAATGTAGGTTCCTCTGTTTCCTGCTAGTTGGGTGACTGACTCGCAGGAATAGGACGCGCCGGGCCGGGGCGGGAAAGTCTTCCATGTTCGTTCTTTCTCCATGCCGGAGCCATTCTGTTCGTCCCTGCATCAATTCCGTAATAATTTCTCATGTTGGATAACATTGATAGCCCCATTTTAGAACGGAAGGGACGATCAGACGCGAACACGTGACGTCATACCGTACACGGAAGGCAGGGACCCCAAGTAAGCTACCTACGTCATTCAACGTTCCCGTCCCCAGTTGTTCCTGACAATCACCTCGCAGCGGATATTGCTGCAGCACAACCAATCCAGTCTCAACTGCCAGATTTGTTGAGTGCGGCACTTCATGATACCTTCTCCCTCATACAACACATCGCAAAAATACCACTTGAGGCCACACATTACGGGGACTCCAACGCAAGAAAACTATCCAGCTATCTATCGCTGCACAAGATTCACTACTTCCACCGCAATACCAACCTTCCTATCCCTCGACAAGAAAGAAACACCGACCACTACCATGGCAGAAATCGCAGCAGGCGCTGTCGTAGCTGAGCAGGTCGTGTCGACTGGCATTGAGGCTGGAGCGGCCGTCGCCGTGGCACGCCCGACTCAGCCTCTGAAGGTGTCACTGTCCCAGGTCGCCACCACCCAGTCCCCCGCTTTCGACACGTCGTAAGTCAGATACATATTTCTCGTTCGATGGGTTGACTTTAACATTTGAAAAGCGCCCTTGCACGTTCCCACCACTCAGTCACCGTCGTCAACCACAAAGCATGCATCTTCGGCGGCGAGACAGCAGAGGGCGAGCTGGCTTCGACCGACTTCCATGTCCTCTCTTTGCCGGCCATGACCAAGGGTGAGCCGGTTGCAGCCTACGCCTGTTATCCGGCATTCGCGATGCAGGATGCAGAGACTGGCAAGACCTACGTCCCTTCCCCGCGTTCAAGACATGCGGCGGCAGCCCGCGGTCAGTTCGTGATCGTCAATGGCGGTGCTGATGCTAGCGGAAAGCCCATCGACGAGACTTGTCTTTGGCTGTGGGACTCTGAGAGTCTGAAGTGGACCAAGATCCAAGGAGCAAGCCAGATTGGAAAGACCATCACGCCGAGATTCGACCACCACATCTTTGTCGAGCAGACCCAGGACTTCCTGGTTCTCCACGGAGGAAGGACTGCACCAGGACAGGAGGCATCTACTGAGACCTGGATGTACAACTTTGACACTCTCGCCTGGACAGCGCTGCCGCCTTCTCCTCAGCCTCCTCTCGCGGCCGCGTTCGTGGGTAACGTTCTTTATACCATTGGCGCTGACTCTAATATGAGCGGTGCTATCCACTACATGGACCTCAAGTCCAACGCCGAGGACCGCGAGAAGCCCGACGCTCTTGAGTGGAAGACTGTCAACTTCCCTACCAACCCACTCACCCCGGGTCCCCGCCCACGTGAAGGGGGCGCGCTTGTGCCAGTAGACACTGGTGTTGGCCGACACTACCTCGTCTATATCTTTGGCGAGAACAGCACTTCAGCCGACAAGGACTTCTACACTGATATCTGGGCTCTGCAGCTCCCTACCCACGGCTTCAACGCGGCGGCTGTGAAGGATGCGATCCGTGACAAGCTGCCTCGTATTGATTCTGGTGAGTTCAGCTGGGCAGAGGTGGAGCTCATTCCGACAGAGGAAGTCAAGACGGAGGGAAAGGCGCACCCCGGCCCACGTGGATACTTTGGTGCAGACGCTGCAGATGGAAAGAGTCTTGTCTTCTGGGGTGGCGTCAGTGCATTGGGCAAGGAGGGCGACGGATGGCTGCTTCAGGTCCAGTGAGCAGTGCCTGATGGATAAAAGTGTGGAGTATGCGAAACAAGATTCCCCAAAAGTGTATTACTGCCTTAGCCAAGGACGGCCAGAATAAAAACAGAACACCTTGATATCAAGCAGGCTCCTATATGCGTTACCCTTTTGACACCGAGGGACCTGCTTGTCGTGAATCTGGTCCGCCAGCCTTGTCAAGTCAACTGAAGTCGTCTCTGAGTGGCTTTGCAAGTTTCTCACAAGACTAAAAAAAAGCCTATCCGGGAAGGGGGGGTGCTCTGAACAGGGGCCTATTCTACTGCTTCATAGGGGGTTATGCCCCTAAGGAGCCAGTTTGCGGGTTGAGTAACCCTTCGGGTTGCCAGTGGTCCCTAAGTATATCAAAGTACCCCCTTTTCTCTCTTTGATCACTAGTGACGGGCTTCCTCTGGCCTTTGAGATCTCTGTTGGAATTACTTCTCTAGTTACGGAAGGCCTCTCTGCAAGCACAACAGCCTAAGATAGAAGAGGAAGGGGCGTACTTGCCGTCAAGTCAATATGAATACTGCATAATGTAGCTACACGAAGTGGTATCTATCCGGGGAGGGGGGGGGGGGGCTACCACCTAATTTAACAATATTAGCACGCAGAAAGAACGACCTCTGCCGTGCGGACGCTCCCCCCTCCATAGGAATGTAAGGCCTGGCTTCCTACCTCTCTTGCTTCTGTCCTCCACTGGGCAGTCTTAGACGCTTGACCACGCACCTTTTATCTACATCAACTCGATAAGTCCGTCTGAAACCAACAAAATCCAAGCATCATAGTACAACGAAACCACTACGACAGACTAGCTCTTCTCCATCACCATGGGTGCCATCTTCAGCCGCCAGCCGCGCAAGATCACGGCAAAGAACGCCACCAAAGATGTTTATTACGACATCGTGTACACTTACCTCTCCGATCCAGGAGAGACGGATATTTTCAAGCTGGACTGGGAGGCTGTCCTCTTTATCAAGACCAAAACCTCAAGCAAGTCTTGCAAAACGGCCTCATCGTCTTGGAAGACAATGTTAAACCCCAATCCGGCTGTATCACATTCCGCAAGCGTCCCTATTATCTTCGCAAAAGAGGCTGGGTACATGCCCGCCGGTACGTCTTGTCTGGCAAGTCGTGTGGCGGATCGGCGGCGCGTCTTGCGGTTGGGGCGCGCGACCTCGTTCCGCTTGTGAGCTTTCGCATCACCGATCTTGTTGGCCATGCGAATCATGGTTGGGCTATGGATAAGGAAGGATCATTGGTGTGTGCATGCAAGGCTCCCGATAAGACGAATTTCCTCACGTGGAATACGAATCACGGCTCTGAGCCATGGCGGCCTATGCTGTTCACTATCGTCTCGCAGAAGACAGAGGTCTCGGCGTCGGGGGATAACGTGAAGGAAAATGCTGGTGGTGTCGAGGGGCAGGTGGCTGCGCCTGGTGGAAAGAGGAAGAAGGGCTAGACGCACTTTGGACCTTGTAAGGGCTTAAAGGACTACATCATGGAAGTGTTGCACGAGTAAGATAATGTCGAGATGAGGTAGGGAGATCTCTCACCAGCGCGAACACTCGGTTGGGCTCAAAGATGGCGACGATGAATTCAACTATGAACTTGCATCACGGATTCATTCTTGGGGTACTGTTAATAGATACAAATAATGCGAAGCGTCCTACTTCAAGCTGCAAGAGAGAATCAAAGAGTATATAGAGTAGCCATTTGACACAATCTAGTCTGATTGACTCGAGGCAGCCAAGGGCCAGAAGCTCTTTCACAGAACAATACGAGGGTGGTTTATTCAGTAATACACTATTAAACCTCTTCTGGAGACCGGAGATCTCTGCGATTCGGTGCGCTAAATAAGGCCCACCAACCCGGCTACGGCTTTCATAGCCTTTGCGAAGACAACATATTTCTGGCCCAGCATATGCGCTGGCACCACTCTTTGCTTATGTACCTGGATATGATTGCTTGAATTAGCAACTCGGATGGAACCATGGCAACACATATCCCGCAGCGGAAGACTGTACGGGTGTATCTGGATTTTACAATTGCCTCGACTGGGCGGCTATGGCGCCCCGCACTGCGGAGGTTTGATTTGATGATGTTGTTTTGCGGCATGCGTGCCCCGCGGTTCAGCCCCGCCTGGCTGGCGGTGGGTAGGTCGAGGCGTTCTGAGACATGGAGTTCAGCAACCCCTCACTGGCACAGCTTGTCTACTTAGCGACTTTCTCGGTGTCAAGGGAACAAATCAGAGATACGAACGCAGAAGAAGGAAGAGGCAGAGTTGAGGTGGTGCTACCACACAGTACAGCAATACAGCATTGCCCGCCATGCCCGCCAATTCAAGCTCAGCCCACTTGCGCGGCAGCCACAGTAGGTATGAGCGACTACTCCTCGTTCCAGCATTACGTGTCACTCAATTCAGAAAGGGGGCATTGGGCAGGGGTAAAAGACGTCTTCTAGCTAGGAAGCGCGATCCGCCTATTGGACTTTCGTCTCTCCAAGACTTCGGTTCATAGCCCACATGACGACATGAAGCATTCGACTTTATACACTTTGACCCCAGAGGCTTGCCTTAGAAGGCGGCCTCTGACCATGCGGATCGGCCTTCGAAGTGGAGAGTCTGAAGGTTCTCCTCTCTCTGTTCTTAATTTCCTTTCCTTCCTCTCCCTTCATGTGCCAACGAAGTTCAGAGGGATCTTCAATATCAGACCTGAGCCTTTCTTTTCACAGAAAGATACGTGAATCAAAAATTCGGAAAACGCCGAAATCCGTTCTTTTTCTTCTCTCTTTTGACAACATTGTCGATCTTTCACACCTGTCTGCCAGCTCCTCATCTTCTCCAGAGGTCTCAGGCACGTCTAGAAGGCATGGTAAGCCTCACAGGTTCTCCTCCACACAACTGTGTATGTGTAAGCACGAGAATTGAATGTTTTTCTTCTAGTCCCTGCTTCAAATCTATCCCGACTTGAATGGTTCCCCTGATCTGCGAATTTTGTCTCCAGTAGTGGAGAAAGTAGAGTGAGTGTCTCTGTCATCATGAAACAACTGAGAGCAAGAAAGTGTATCTGATCTGCTATTAGCATTATCGTCGTCCCGGGACAAAAGCCATCCCGAAAATCGCTGACAGATTTGGGCAACCGAGATCACCTTACCAAAGCCTTTGTCGATGACCTTCTCCCTTCAGACTTCCCAAATTCGAGAATACTCTTCTTCGATTATGATCCTCATTCTGCTTTTCGGTCTGGTTTCACAGAGAACAGACTACCAGTCGTCACCCTACATCTCCTACAACATGCCATCAAGCTGAGGAAAAAGGATCCTCTGCGGCCTATCATATTCATTGCACATGGCGTGGGTGGTATACTTGTCAAGAATGCCTTACTTCGCGCAGCATTGGACTCGAGGTTCAAAACAATTAGAAGGGCTACGAGAGGAGTCGCCTTTTTTGGAACACCTCACCGGGCAAGATCTCTCGAAGCAACTTTGGAGACTCTTGTGTCGGACTTCGCACAACAACTATGGATCTCGGACTCCTGCCAGACCAAAACATCCCGTAAATCCCCCTACTTTGTGAAAGCTTCGTCATCTTCCTCGGGGCTCCTCTCTGCCGAGATATTCCACAATGAATGGCTCTCGAGATACTCTCGCCGGCTCAGATTTCTCTCATTCTATGGACAAACGTCGTCCTTGGTAAGTTGTCATCTTTCTGTACTTACTTCAATTTAAGAAAATGAAGTAATCCAGATTCTGGAGCTATCGTCGTGAAATATCAGCTCACAATTTATGACAGGCCATACCAGGCCACAGCGCCACTCTCGATCTGCCCCAAGAACAAGAATCAATAGTCGCTCTCCCATCATCACAGCAAGACTTCTGGGCCTTCACAGGCTCGAGTGATCCAAATTATTGCATCTTTCGCAATAAGCTAGCGTGGCTCCTGGGATGGATCGCGCAGTCAGGTAAGTGAAGCATGATTGGCTTGTAAGCCATGGTTGGTCACTCGATCACGGCGCGGACCTACAACTCATAAGATCGCAGACCCTATTCGATACAGTCTCGAATTTCAAGACCTGAAATGGCTTCGACAATTATATCCCCCGGGTCTCAAATCAAGAGAAAATCTGATTCAAGATCCCGTCGAGGGCACCTTCCAGTGGATTTGGTCGAATTCTTCCTTCAAGTCCTGGTTATTAGCCGACACAAGCGCGACACTGTGGTTGACAGGAAAGCCAGGAAGCGGCAAATCGACATTGTTAAGATATGTTTCGGACTATCTCTGCACTGTTGCCGATGACATGCCGTATGAGCCTCTTGCAGTGGCCCGACGTTCCTTCGCTGTGGCAAATTTCTTTTGCGATTTTTCGGCCCCCCCAAAGTCCTCTGAGAGTATCTTACGCTCTCTTCTTCACCAAGTTCTTAGTGGCCAACCGTCTCTCCTTCGCTATCTGACCCCAGTGGTCAAGAGAAAACGCCAATGGTCCACTGGCACTGATTTCGGTTTGGTCACAGCTTTGAGGGAAATCTCAAAGCACAGAAGCATCGTTTGCGTGATAGACGCGCTGGACGAGTGCGACGATGTTGTACGCACCAACCTTCTTGATGCATTGGCAGACCACCTCGTCGCCCCCTCGGAGGAATCTTGGAGATCGCCCTGTGCACTGGATTGTGCTTGTTGCACATCTTCCCCAAAACTGAAGATTCTCTTTTCTTCTCGGCCGTATCTCTCAGTAAGAAGTCCTGAGAATCACCAAGTCCAGCATCTTAGCCTCTCCGCCGAAGAGGCTGCATCAAGTCTGGAAAAGGACTTCCAGGCAGTCGTCAAATCAAGCTTTCCTCTCCTCGGATCCAATGACGAAATCGAAAAACGTAGAGACATTGCTTCCAGAATTGTTGAGAGATCTGACGGGGTATTCCTTTGGGTCAAACTTGTCTTGAAGTCTCTGCTATCTCTGGAAGTGCAAACCAGCGACAATTTGTTGAGCGAGCTGGAAAAGCATCCGACAAATTTGAACGACATGTACTCGTCCATTCTTCTTTCAGTTAATGAGAAGAAGGCTGACGAGAAATCATACATTCTGAAATGCCTGGACTGGGTCGTTTTTGCTCGAAGGCCTCTGCGAGTCGAGGAACTCGCTGCGGCTGTTGCATTCGAGACAGAGAGTGGCTATCAACATGGTTTCCCAACCTCGGTCCGCTCACCAAGCCTCATAGACCTTCGCTACAAATTTCGCCCTCGGCCGATCAGGTTCTGTTTTTCTCAAGTCCCTCTTATAGAAGTTAAAGGCTCGACGGTTCATATCATTCATCGATCAGTCAAGGACTTCTTGTCGTCTACCACTCATACCGCCTCCGGCAGCGTTCCTCTACCACTGGCTACTATCAGAAGTCTTGAAACCTTCCTCGATGTTAACACTCGCATCGCTGCAATATGTCTGGCATACTTGACAAAGTTGAGCCGGTCAGACAGGTCATCGGACGAGGTTCCCAAACACGATTCAATGCTTGACACTGAAGTTGCGTTTCCTTTGTATACCTACGCAGCGACGTATTGGAGCTCCCACGAGAAGGCTTCGGCTCAAGACCAAGAGTACCCCGACGAGATTGTTCACAACTTATGCAGTCCGAGGTCCCTCCTATTGCAGAAGTGGTTCAGGCCTTGGTGGGAGAATCAGTCGACTGAACCTTGGGAATTGCGCAGGTTTCCGACATACCCAACAGAAGGTATCGTTCTTTCCTTCCTTGGGAAAGCAAATGAGGTCGCAAGTCTCCTCCGACATAAGATCATGAGAGCCGACGAGTGTACCCCTAGGGGCGAAGAATGGACGCCGCTAATGGCCGCATCGTGGAGCGGGCATGAGTCCGTAGTTCAGCTTCTCCTTCAGCAACAGATCGACTTTGCTACGCATCCAGTTCATTCTTCCCGGGCGCTGACGCACGCAATCGAGCGAGGTCACACTCTCATTGCTCAGGATATCACCATGGCGTTTGCTCGGCCAACAGCAAAAGTCTCTGTATCGCTCTCGATTCTGTCTCAAGGAGCGAGCTCTCCTCTGGCGACTGCAACACGGCTCGGCCAGTGGCAGTTGGCTGCATTGCTCTTAGATCGTGGAGCCTGTGTCAACTCTTGCTGGCAATTACCGGACGACGAACCGAAGCATACAGATAGGACTATGGGTTCAAAATTATGCAAGTGGCGTGACATGATTACACCGTTGGCACTTGCTGTGAGCCAAAATGACATGGAGATGATAGAGGTTCTAAGCTCCTCTAGCGTAAGCTTCGAAGACTATGACTACTTAAGTCTTGCTGCCAGTACTGGTGCTTTAGGGGCGGTCCAGTTTTTGCTGAAACAAGGGCTGGAAGTCCACAATGACCATCAGAGGCACTCGGCACTTCTTCTGGCGGCAGATCGTGGTTACACCGAGATAGTGAAGGTTATCTTGGATCACAATAGATCTC